CCTTTATTGCTCTTCCCAAGTCCTGAAGGGAGACACTTTCTCATTCAAGGTGGAGGAAAGCTATGAAAGAAGAAATAAATGCTTTAAAATTGAATCATACTTGGGACCTTGTTCCAACGCCTGCTGATACTTAGGTAGTTGGTTGTCGTTAGGTTTTCACTATTAAATAGAAGCCTGATGGTACTGTTGACAGTCTCAAAGCTCGCATTGTTGCTAAAGGCTACACATAGACTTACAACCTTGATTTTATTTTATTTTATTATAAGTAAAAATGTATTAGAAAGCATTCAAAAGGGAAATGCATCCCAAGAATACACTGAGGCTGAAGCCAAAAAAGAAAAAAAGACGGATCCTGAGGACCCAAGAAGCCCAAAAAATCAACAATCCCAAAAAATCAACAATCTCCTCTATGGATGTACAATATCTCCCCATCCCCCAATAAAAAAGAAAATAATAATGCAGAATTTTAAAGTTCCTATGGGAGATTCCTCCCCATCAAAAGATCTATTATTCATCTCCTTCCAAATACACCACAAAACGCAAAGGGGTGTCATTCTCCAAAAAGACGAGTGTGAGAACCCACACCACACCCTCTACAAGAGTCAATCAAACCTCTGAAGGACTTGGGCATGACCCACTGCATGACAAACAAGCCAAAAATCAGACTCCAACAGTCGTGAGCTACAACAGGGCAGTGCACAAGAAAATGATCGACCAACTCTCCATCCCTTTTACAATGCAACACCAATTAACCATAACTTGTCTTCTCCTTCTGAGGGTATCAACTATCATAATCTTGCCCCAAGCTGCAGTCCGAACAAAAAAGGCCACCTTGAGGGGAGCCTTGGAGTGCCCGACCGTCTTCCAAGGAAAATCAGCCCCTAAGAAGCCTGAGAGGCAACAAAAAAAGGACCGGACATCAAATCTCCGCTAGGGAAAGGGCACCTAAATAAAGGAATCAGGGCCTCCACTATGCGTCTGTCTATACTCCCAATCATGAAACTGTCGCCTACAACGCACATCCCAAGTGACGCAACGGATCAATGAAAGCAAACAAAATAATTTAGAATAGCAACGTATTCTTTAAACACTCGAATCCATGAGAAGAAATTGATAAAAGCTCTCAGTTTTCTGATATTAATAAAAGAGATAATTGATTGTCCTAAACTAGTACAATAACATGTATTTATAGGCCTAAGCAAATCCTAAAGTATTTAGGAAATTAAAACAATGGAAACTTTCTTAACAAACACAAAGCTATGAAGGAAATTAAAATAAAGAAAAACTTTTCTAAAACAGAAACTGAATTTTAAACAATGAGAACTTTCCTAAAACAGAAAATAGAAACAGAAAAGTTTGTTCCCGAGCACTGTTCATGCAATCTTCATGCCTGTTCATTCATGTACTACAACACCAAGTAACCCTCCCGCTATCAAGCGGATAACGGCCACCAAGCATGTCTGTCAACAACAATGCTGAAGAGCCTGGGAAAAGAACAAGCCAACGAACGCTCACCACACCATATGGCCTTGATTATACTGAGACGTTCTCTCTTGTGGCCAAACTGAATTATGTTCGTGTGATAATCTCTCTTGTAGCTAATCTACATTGGCCATTTCATCAACTTGATGTTAAAAATGTCTTTCTGCACGGTGACCTTACTGAGAGAGTCTATATAGCTTACCTGGGTTTGAGTCCGAGGGGAAGTGTGTGTGTCATCTGAAGAAGTCTTTGATGGCCTCAAACAGTCTCCCCGTTCCTGGTTTAATGGCCTAAAGCAGTGGTAACTCATAGTATGACCAGAAGCCAAGCCAGTCACTCTCTTTTTTAAGAAAACGAAACGTGGTATTGTGATTCTTGTGGTGTACGTAGATGATATCGTTATCACCGACGGTGATAGAGATGGAATACAAGTTTTAATTCATCACTTGAGTTCTAACTTCCTTACTAAGAATTTGGGCAAACTTCGGAATTAGTCTCTCTCAGCGGAAGTATAGTCTTGATCTCAGGATACTGGATATCTTGGTTCGAAACCTTTAGCTACAGCCATGGAGACTAATATAAAACTTAAGGTGGATGATTGTGACCCACTCGATGATCCCGAAATATATCGGAGACATGTAGATAAACTAAATTACCTCACAATCACTCGTCCAGACATCTCCTATGCAGTTAGTATTGTGAGCCAGTTCATGACCAGTCCTCGGGTACTAATGTAGAACAGCTCGCTCACGAGTATTTGAGAATACAGGATCACCGCAAACCAGGGAGACTGAAAAGGTAAGGAGAATAGAAGGAATAAATAAATAAGAAAAAGTCAACAATAGAAAAAGGAAAAGTTGAAAATAAACAAGGAGATTGGTGGTGGAGTTCACAATAGGCAACATAATTGGTGTAGTTGCCAACAATAGATAGCCTGATTGAAGAATTATTCTCCATTGCAAGATTTAAGGAGGATTCTGCTCCATCAAAACTAAGTAGATACCTCTTTAAATTTCCCCTTTAGCATTTATTTCTTAATTGCTTTATTTTTTTATTTTTGACTTGCCTATATAAAGGCAAGAGTTGTAAGTTTGCAAGCAGATATTTATAAATATAATTTCAAGTTTTCTCCCTTGTGAGTGTATTCTTTGTGAATTCAAGGGTTTTAACCCCGTTCTTTATCGTTTCCGCTATGTTAGTTGGTATCAGAGCAAGGTACTGAATCCAAGACTCGCCTTTGTTTCGATGGCTGGTACACGAGATGGAAGCAATCCCTCCAGCGACAATGATCATGACGGAGTAGCTCTTTTGAGGGTTGAGTTTACCGAGTTCCAGACCAATGTTAATCGAACCTTACTTGATATGCATGAAACTATGTGTCTAAGTATAGGTAACATTGACAACAGTATAACGTAACCGCGAGAACAGGCTGCCTAATGACGGTGATCATGGGCGTCCTGGTAATCACAACCCAAACCCACCGATTAGGCAGCCAACCTATGAGGAAAATGTTGGTTTCGATAACAACCGAGTCGTACAGGTGTTTGGAGATTGATGATTCCAAATATTTTCATATGAAGATCGGCTTACCCACTTTTCAAGGTCATCTTCGTATTGAAGAATTCTTGGACTCGATTAGGGAAGTTAACCATTTCTTTGACTATATAAAGATCAAGGAGGAGAAGCAAGTCAAACTAGTGGCCTAAAAGTTGAAGGGCGGCGAATCAGCATGGTGGGATCAAGTGCAGACTACCCGTGCACACGTACATGGGTCAAGATGAAGAAGTTGATGAAAGCCCAATTTTTACCCCCTGATTACGAGCAGGTTCTTTATCAGAAATATTAGTCCTGCAGGGAAGTAGAACAATTGCTGAATATGCTGAAGAATTCTATCGGTAACAACCTGGTGGAACCTGAATTTAGCATGGTGGCCATCTTAAAGGCAGGTTACGATGGAATTCTAACTCGAAGAAAAAAAAAATTACTGTAGCATATCTTACTTTACATTAAGTTTCATTGAAATGGACAAACCTAGAAAGGGAAAATGTTCACAGATTCTGTGCAACCAAGTTTTTTGAAGGGAAATAAATACTGAAGCCTAATAATGATTCAGTAGAAATACAATATAGAAGAAAGAGAAGAGAAATATGTAAAAGATTTGAATGAGATTTATAATATGTAAAGGCTTGAATGATTTTAATCACTCATTCATAGCTCTAGTATTTATAGATAAAATAAGAGCACATGCTCATATTACAAGAAAAGAAACTAAATCAAATCTAAATCAAATCTCTGCTAATATGGTAAGTATTTCCATAAATCATGGCTATCATATATGTTAACATATGCACAATCAAATCTATGCTAATATGGTAAGTCATTCCATAAATCGTGACTATCATATATGCTAACACTCCCTCTCAAGTTGGTACGTGGATATCTGAAACGCCCAACTTGGACAATGCATCTTCAAACACGGTCTTGCTAGCACCCTTTTTCAGAATCTACAAGTTGCAGAGTGCAAATCTAACTAGATTAAAAATGTCGATCAACAAACCAAAAATGTCTCCTCAGACCATAAACAATTAATAATGTCTCCTCAAACCGTAAACAACTAATCACGTCTCCTCATACCATAAACAACCAACAATGTCTCCTTAGACCGTAAAAAAACAACAATATATCTCCTCAGACCGTAAACAACCAACAATGTCTCCTCAGACCATTCCCTTTCACATGTTTAAAACATGTAGATGGAAGAATCAACAATGTCTCCTCAGACCATTCCCCTTTATACATATGTTTAAACAATGTAAAAGAAAGAATCAACAATGTCTCCTCAGATCATAAAAAAGAAATAACTGTCTCGTCAGACCGTTTCCAAATGAGTGGTGCCAAACTCGCAACACCCTTATTGAGGTTGGACTACCCTGCCTACCCGACACTCCCGGATGGGCGATGTCACCTTAGACCATTTCCAAATGGGTGGTAACGAACTCGCAATGCCCTCATTGCAGTCGGACCACCTTGGCTCTGATACCAAGTAAAATTACAATATAGAAGAAAGAGAAGAGAAATATGTAGAAGGTTTGAATGAGATTTATAATATGTAAAGGCTTGAATGATTTTAATCACTCATTCACAGCTCTAGTATTTATAGATAAAATAAGAGCACGTGCTCATATTACAAGAAAATAAACTAAATCAAATCAAAATCAAATCTCTGCTAATATGGTAAGTGATTCCATAAATCATGGCTATCATATATGCTAACATATGCATAATCAAATCTATGTTAATACGGTAAGTCATTCCATAAATCGTGACTATCATATATGCTAACAGATTCCAATTAACATTAGTACAAAATAGGAAGTTCACAATATAACTGAAGTCAAAAGGCAAAAAAGAAAAAGATAAATACCAACAAAGGATCGTGGATTTATATTAAATTATGACCAATTAAAAAAATCAGAAAAAAATTCAGTTTCAACGCTGCATTTTTCTTTACAACTTACATTGGCTTCTTCTGAGTGAAGATTGAACTGCGGCTCAATAACATTCACCATGAAATGACGAGTTCCCTCCGTTTCAGAATCATCAGTGATTTCACTCTTTTCTGGTGACAAAACAAAAGAATGGATCCTTAACTGAGATCTTAGGTTATACAAGTTATGCTTGCAGAAAATATATCACTATTAATGCATAAAATGAAAATAAACCCCAGCAAAGTCACTGGTCCGAAAAACAAATACACTTAACACAACACATCAAAAACTAAATAAATTCCAAATTTAAAGTATCCGAGGAATATTTTCACAATGACTTAAACTTACCAACTGCATCCAGTGCTGAGTTTTCTATTTTACTTGAATCTGGTGGAGATGAAAGCGGCATGGAAGTCTCGACATGTTGTTGAGGTGGGGAACTGGAAGAAGGGGCCTTCAACATATCATCTTGAAGCATTTTACCTCTATCAACTACCTGGTTCTCCTCAAGCAACTTCCTCTGTGCGTACTGTCGAGAAGGAGAAGGCTTTGGAGCTTCAAAAGCCTTGGATAATCCACCAACCCAAGACCAAACAGCATCTCTATTCTCAAGAGTCCACAAAAGCTTAAGGCCATAAACAAAAATCCGCTGACAATTATCAGCTATTACCACATTATACCCATCATCATCACTTGGGTCTGATCTTGCATGCTCGTCACTCCCACTTCCATTCTCAAACTCAGACCTGACATATGTCATCTCAAGATTTTTTCTTCCAGCTTCTTGCCATGCTAATAACCTTGCAGGGTCAGCCTTTGGGGCTTGCTTTCTGATCGTAAAATACTCAGATGATAACAGAAATCCATCATCGCGATGCTTCTCCATACAGCCGCTCATATAGCTGCATTTTTCATTCTTACCTCTGTCCGTGGATGCAGATTGTGAATTTTTCCTTGTCATTTGAACAACTTTTGCAACACTGGTGCAATCTTCCTTATTTAGATATGCCTTGGGCATGTGAAGGTCAATGCCCTGGTAAACGAGATCAAGAGGATCGCGCTTGGATTCAAATGTATATTTTTGTTTACCCCGACTATTACAGAGCTCATATTTCAGCTTTGACATCTTAAATGTCAGTCCTTTAGCTGGATCATCATCATCTAAAGGCATATGCCTTATACAGGTTGGGGTAGCATCAATGCGAAACATAAATTCTGTCATCACCCTGTCTAGAGACAAATTGCCTGATCTGGGAATTCTTGGAACTCCAAATCGTGGCCACCGAGAAAAGGTGCGCAATTTATGAGGAGGAATGTAGTTCATGTTCCAGAATTTAACTAACCATGCTAAATCATGAGCACCAACATTCATGGTTGGTGAATTAATTAAAACACTCTCCGGCTTAAATTGTGGGCCATAAACAGATCCATCCAAGACAGCATTATCTCCCATAGTGGAGGATTGTGATTGATTCTCACACGATGGAAGAGAGGGTCTGAGTAAGAAGTTCAATCGCAGAGAGAGAGAAGTAGATCTGAAGGGATCAAAAACTTTTTCACGAAGTACACCTTCATTGGGAAGTGCAAACAAGTAATGATTCATTGGAATGCCAGAATCACATTCCCATTCCATTGTAACTTCAGAAGTAAAGGATGGAGCCTCTAGGAACGCACCAGACACGCCGCTAGGAAGTTTTAAGCTGCAATTGTTTAGCAAACTCTCCAAACTGCTCAAAAATATCTTGAAATCCTTTGCAGAAACATAAAGACGACCATCAGACTGATGGATTTCCATATGACCAGAAACAACTTGAAGTTTATCAGACTTTTCATAAGGATCAGTAGTAGCAAGAATATTCCATCTGGTTTCAGACATAAATAAAGTTATATTTCCATGAATATAGTTTCTCATCTCGTCCCACCAAGGTAAACTCCGTTCCTTTTTTGGGGGCTGAACAGGAGCATTCGGGTTCCGAATGCTTAGATTAGCCCTGCGAAGAGCCACAGTAAAAACATAGCTGATATCAGCAAAAGCTGGTTCAAAACCCACTCCATAGGAAATTTCTGCTTTCTGAAAATGTAAGGGCAAATCTGAGTATGTTTTGATTGGCGGAGTTGTGCCACTGGCTGACCGAAGCATGCGCACCTTCCTCCATCTCCCAATGAAGACATCTTGGGAGATTTGGGGCTGAAAACATGTCGCCTGCAATTAAGTGCGGATCATTTAATCACTTACATCAAGTAGTCGATAGTCATGACTTGATACTACCAAAAAGAGGCGTACGATTATTGTAGTTTATTTCCTTCTCTCTTTTAGATTAGTTCATCTAGAGGTGTGTGATTATTACATCAAATGATGTACGAACAAGACAATATGATAATCCCATCTTCCAAGTTCTTGATCATGACATCAAAGTCTAACATTACAACACACATTGATTATGGAGGACCTAGCATGCCTGTAGCTTTAATTAATAGATTACCAGCAAGATTAAAAGAAAAGCCACATTAAATACCTAGCCATGGAGACTCAAACAAAGCGATTTCAGCAGACACAGGGATCTAAGATATGGAAACTAAAATATAGAACAATTTCTACAGAGGAAATCGAAAGTGAGAACCTAGTTGCTGGCCGCCTAATTATGCTGTCCACGTTGTCTTTACGAAATATTTCATGGGCAATACTGTTTGGGTCTAGGTGCTTGAAAGAGAGAAAAAGACAGAGAAACTGACACACAGAAAGACTTTGATTACAGCAATCTGCCAACACCAGTCACTGTCGATGTTTGGAAATTTAATGGACAAGATTGAAAGGCACGCTTTAAGTGAACTAGTTAAGATGTGAAATTGGAAACCCCATTCCATTTATATGTAATAGGAATAGTTAGAGCTGGTAGTAGGCAGTTGGTAATAGGATTTTGCCTAAAGTTTCTTCGTCTGTATTTTATGCTTACACGACCTTCTGATTGACTTAATAATTGCAAGTGTTTTTCTGGTACTTGTACAAAAAACACAGTATGAGGGACTCTAGACACACACAGGAAATAAAAATTAAAAGAAAGAAAGAAAAAGGGTGAAGAGTGAAATTGTTAGAAAAAAAAAAAAAAAAGGCAGCTTTGTACCTGCTGAGCTAGAATAATACGACCTTCACATCTACCAGAAGTTGCAGAAAGAAGTGGATACGTGTAATTTCTTAACTGAGCAACGAGAGATCCTGTATGCAAAAGAATATTACTCCCATACAACCGAGAAAATGGTATGTTACATTCTCGACAGACAGGATCAAGCTTATGTAGAACCTCTATCATCCCAGCATCGCCACCTTCAATCTTTGTCAAGCTTACATCAAGTTCGGTAGCATAAAGAGAGAGAAGTGAAGTTCGGGCTGTGCTAGGCTTGAAACCAGCCTGAAACCCCTCCCTACAAGCACCTGATTCTTCTGACGGTTTAAGCTTTTGGCATGCCTGGTAATATGATCTGAATGACTGCTGATAAATCTCATCTTGAATTCTGTGAATAGAAGAAGCATCTTGCACATCAATCTCATCCCCATTATAATGAATCTTACCTTCATAAGTAGAATCCTTTGTTTCAGCAGATCCTGAACATTGACTGCCTCTGGAAACAAGCTCATCAAGAAATTTCAGCCTGACAGCTAATTCACAAGCCTCATTCTTCATCAGATGGTAGTGTTCATCAAGCCAACCCTGTATTGGTTCTTCCTCAATGTCAGCGGTTAGTTTCCGTATACAAAATTTTACACATCCAAATTTTGTTGAAGTAGGCTTTTTAGGCTTTGCACTTTCTTTTCTCACTGGAAATATAAGTTTAGTTTTAACAGCAGTGACAAGCTTCAAAGCTCGCAACATTTCCTCAATAGAATCATCAAGGGCGCGCAACTGCAACCTATACGGCATGCAAATATGGACATCAAGGCCTCGAATTACCCAGTCCCATGTAGTAGCTGCCTCAACTTTTGCATCAGCTGAACTACTAGGGGCAACAGGAATGCGAGAAATTTGCATCCGACTACTTCTAAATACTCTTGCTCCATTGAAACTGAGCAAAAGTCCTTCGAGAAGTACTCCTATTCGAGCATTTTCAGAAAAAATTGATTGAACTTGAACCATTGCATCAACCCCATCTCCAACCTCGGCAAATATATTCAGCATTTCCACATCAATAGCAAAAATAGATTCCCTTTTCTTGTGTTGTTTCTCTACTGGTAGAGATTCTGTAGGTGTTGCTTTCTTCTGCTCAATATCTCTCACTCTAGATATGTCTTCCATATATTCATTATCAAGTTCCCGAAGCTTCTGACTGTGTACAAGTAACTTTAAGTGCAGCACAAGTTCAAATAATGCTATATGCACATCAGGCTCCCACCTGACAGTGATATCAGTGGCACTGAAAAGAGAGCAGACAGCAACCTCTTTAAGACCACCAGATCGGTGAACAAACTTTGCATTCTTCATGTCAAACAGTACCACTTTTGTGCCATGTCTATTGTCTTCCAAGTATTCCTGATATGTAGATCTGGCTCTTTCAAGCTCCACCTGCGTGGACTGTTTCTCCTTGTTCACACACATACTAAAATGGAAAATGTCGATTGATACAGAATATTTCAACTTCTTGCAGTCATCGGAAACTGTGGACATTATGTTTGCACTGCGTGGTGTCCCATCAGCAGAGACATTAATTATAACTCGACCACCTTGCGATCCATAATTCACGCGTTTGGGGTCAGCAACAACAGTGTTCTCCAAGCCCACATCACCACAGAAATTTACAGAACACCTTTCAAGATTAAGTTTTAGGAGTTGAGTCCCTTTACCTGATGGTTTGGATGAACGCCCTCCCTGGTTATGCGGTGGTGGTTTTTTACCAGAAGCAGATTTATTTTTAAATAAAGCTTTAAAGGAGAAAGCAGTTGATATTAATGATTCAACACGCTTGAATGTCAAGTAAGCACCCATGCCAGTTACATCAACAGAGAGAACCGATTTACACTTGGGATCATCCTCTTGGAGATCTTTTTTACCCCAATCAACGCCAATTTTTGCAATATGCACCAAGGAGCCCGTATTTGTTTCCACACCAAACAAGCTTTCTTTTAAACATTCTTGATATTCATCAGCCAAATGCAAATTTAGTTCACCAAGTTCCATGTGTACTGAAGTGCCTGTACTAGATATATTATTGGCAAAGATGTGCGACGATTGAGAGCAACCCTGCATTTTAAAATCAAAATAACATCCTGTAATAGTTATTTTAAAATCAAAATAATATACTCTAATAATCATTATTTAAATTTAAACTCAGATGGAAAAACAAAGGGATAATATTTGGATTATGCTTCACCAAACAGGGCCAGAAACAAAACATAAGATGACTGTTTGCAAAACAAGGGAAAATCCGCTAATCTACATATCTCAAAATTAGAATAAAAAATTTCATAATAATATAGAATCACCTAAAAGAGCAATATATAAGTTTACAGCACATGCAGTCACAAGAGGGTAAGCAAGCCAAGGGTATTATAAGCGAGCCAAGGGTAAAAAATTTCATAATGATATAGAATCACCTAAAAGAGCAATATAAAAGTTTACAGCACATGCAGTCACAAAAGGGTAAGCGAGCCAAGGGTATTAAAAGGAGTACGTGGAGAACTCTTGTTTATCAAATTCCTTTATTTTATTATTATTATTATTATTATTTTTTTTATAAGTAAATTAGAATAGAAAGCATTCAAACGGGAAACACATCCTGAAAAAGCTATGCAAGGGCTAAATAGGGCCCCTAAACTCACAATATAACCAATAAATCAACTACCTCCCCCATTGATTTACAATTACTCTCAAAGACCCAACAAAAAAGAGAAGTTATAATAGAAAATATCAGAGCCCCAATAGGAGTTTCCACACCAAAGAAGGATCTCCTATTTTGTTCCTTCCACAAGCACCACCAAACATATAAGGGTGCCACCCTCCAAAAGTCACGGGCTTGGGAACCCATTGTACAACCTCTCAAGCCTCCATCATGTCTCTTGAGGACCGAGGCATGATCAACTGGAACCAAACAAGCTAAAGAGTAAATCCCAACTGTCCCGGGGCACAAGGCAATGCAACAGGAGATGATCTACCAACTCTGCATCTAGGGATGGCAACGGGGCGGGTTGGGGTGGGGAACACCAACCCCATCGCCGTCCCCGTCCCCATCCCCGTTTAGCATAGCTACCTTCATCCCCGCCCAAAACCGTTTATTAAAAGGGTGGGGCGGATGATCTACCCCATCCCCGTGTATTTACTTAGGAAAGTGGTAAGGTGTTATTAATGCTGTGTGGGAATTCTAAAGTCATTCTAGGAAAAGTCGACTTTCATTAGTAATAGTATTATAAAATGGACAACCCTCTATATTTGCTGTAATCAAGTTATTATAAAAATATATTTTGAGATATTATCAAATTTTAAACTTCTCTAAGGCTTTCCCAAATTTCCCTTTAGAAATATAGACTCCAAAGGTGATTGGAGCAACCCTATTCTTTCTTTCTTATTGCTGTAAAAAGATTTACGTTTCTTTCTATTTGCTTCAAGTGGTATTTGTGGTCAATCGGTGCTGCATGTGTAAGAATGACGAGGAAACGGTTGATCATCTAATTTGCATTGTTCAATGGCTCGGGATTGCTGGACTTTGTTGTTGGGTTTGTTTAGGGTTCAGTGGGTAATGCTCAGGTCTTCCAGAGACTTGGTTGAGGCTTGGAGAGGTTGTATAGTGGGGGCCCAAGCTTTGTGCGTCTAGTGATGTCTTTGGCTTGAAAGGAATAGGAGATCCTTCGAAGGAAAGGAGAATCCTATGGTCTTTGTTCTAAGTACCCTTTTTGTTGGGTTCTAAGGAGCAATTGTAAATCCATTTTATTTTATTTTATTTTATTTTATTTTTTATAAGTAAGATTTCATTAAAGACGCCCAAAAGGGGAGCGTTCGCTGTTCTCCCAAAGAAACAAAAGACGATTACACCGACAATATAACTTTAAGTTATCAACAAAATCCAAAAGATGATCCATAGAAGTACAATCCCGCCCATTTACCCAAAAGAATAAAGATAGAATGTTGTATTTAAGAGACCAAATAGGAGCTTCCTCTCCCTCAAAGGACCTCATATTCCTCTCGTGCCACAAACGCCACCAAATACATAGAGGAGTAGCCCTCCAAGCATCTCTGACTCGGCTCTTCACTACACCATTACCAAGTCTCTAACATGTCTACCATGGATTCTGGAAAAACCCAAGGCAAACCAAAAGCCGCCAAAAACTACCACCGAGCAATAAAGGAGGAGATGGTTCACATATTCACCCGACTTCTTATACATAGAGCACCAATTAACCACAATATGGCGTCTCCATCTAAGGTTGTCAATAGTAAGAATACCACCTAAGGCAGCCGTCCACGAGAAGAAAGCCACCTTCAAAGGAGCTTTCATCTTCCACACACCTTTCCAAGGGAATGAGGGGCCAGGAGACTCCAACAAACTGTTGTAGAAACACCTAACCTCAAACACCCCCCTCGAGGAGCCCACCCAACCATCTCATTCATGCCCACCCTGGCCACCACCTGGTGGTAAATCAAGGCAAGGAAATCAGTAACTGATAAGCGCCGAATATTGCATATTCAAGCGCCCTTAATTGCATTATTTAAGTCCATTGTTTGCTTATTTTATGTAGATTATCCCTATTTGTGTGTTTGTATATATTTTCAGGTCCTTTTGCCAAAAAGGAGTACAAATAAGACTTTATGGATTTTAGACCATCAAAAGGCACAAGGCTGAATTTCTGGCAGCAGTGGAGTCAGGACTTTGCTCGCCATTTTGACCTTGCAAACTCGAGAACTGGACTTCCATTATAAAATGGCATATTTAGAGCTCTGAATTAGCTTTCTAAATCTTCAAACGGTTTGTCATTCGGAGCTCGGAGCAGAGAGTTATGGCCTTGTTACCAGAGGTGCGCAGAACTGCCTGGCAGCAATGAAATTCTACCTTGATCTTCATTTTCGACCAACCATCCTTGAGAATTGGATCTCCACCAAAACATGAAGTATTTAAAGCTCTGAATTAGCTTTCTAAATCTTCAAACGGTTCGTCATTCGGAGTTCGGAGCGCAAAGTTATGGCCATTTCATCAAAGTAGGTCTGGGCGGAGCAAGTGAAGCATGGAGCTTTTTACACTAAATTCGAGTGCTCGAGGCCTTGCTTCAAGTGCTCGAATTTTGGGCAGAATGCCCTTCGGAAATGGCTCATTTCAGCCCACTTGCACCTTGGTTTCTTCATTTTGTTTTCCTCTTTAATGAAGTGGTTGGAGATGTTGGTTGGTAGCCTCTTGGAGTGGATAGGATATCTAATAAAGGAAAGCAAGGCCACACAAAAATTCATTATCATTCATTTTACAAGATTAGAGGAGAGAGAAGAGAGCAAGGGGAGAGAGTTCTTCAAGCTTGAAGAAGGGAGCACGAAAATGGAGGAGGTCTTCAAGCTTCTTCCTTCTTCCATTGCCCCTATGGGTAACTAAATCTTCTCTAGGGAGGTGATGAAGCCCCCTCTTTTGATCATGTTCTAGATTAGGCTATACTTTTGGGGACTATAATGTATAATGTATGGTAGTTTCATAGTCTAAGAGCATTTTCCTTCTTGTAATAAATTTTAATGTGTAAATGGTTGATGTAAGTTCATTGTCATATCTTTGATGATTCTTGGATCAATCTTATTGCTTTTATTTTCATAGTGACAATGAAAATATAGACTATGAATGTTTTTCAAGGCACGTTGATTTTGAAACTTGATATTCCATTGCTTAGGTACCTCCTTTGATGGTTTATACTTGATTCCTACCTTCATGTGCTCCACCATTTGATTGAAAGCTTGATGGTCTTTTGCTTGAGATAGTGTATTTGATTCTACACCTTAGTTTAAGTAGTTCAACTATGGTAGCTTTTGATGGATCATTCTTGTTTTGATTAAGTGAACTTCTTGATGATTATTAAGCAACGGAGTTGCTTCATATTTCTTGACCATTGCATATATGCTATTTATCCCCAAATTTAGACCTAATCTAGCATGTACTTAGGGTGTAGTGTGGATTCATCTCCCTAGTCTTTTCTACTTGTATCCCACTTCTTCAATTTCATTGAAATCTATTGTTTTATGCATTTTTATTTCTTAGTTTAGTGACAAACACACAAACCCTTTATAAACCCCTCATCACTCTAAAATGACTTTAGATACTTAGGTTGCCTTAAGACTAGCGCAGTCCCAGTGGTTCGACTTACCCGTCCAATAGCCCTATTTTACAATGATTCGTGCTATTGCGAAGAGGGTTGATTTATAATTGATTTCGACCGTCGATCAGTAACCTCAAAAAGCTTCAAATCATTAAATTGTCTACGAAACTGCACATCCCAAATCACCCTCCCATTATCGAGACGATAATAGTCAACAACCAAAACATGTCTATTCACAACAATCCTGAAAAGATAAGTGGATCTACGAGCCAAGGCCAAGTCCCCACACCATTTGTCCTCCCAAAACTTGACATACCTTCCACTCCGAACCTTGAACCGAATGCACTTGGAAAACTCATCCCAACCCCTTAAGATAAATTTTCAAGAGCCCGTAACTGCTAGGGATCTTACCTCCCTAGACTGCCACCCTCTATCTCCCTCCCAAAGCTTGGACCACTCGCTCCCAAATCTCCATAGCCACTTTCCCAACAAAGCCTTGTTGAACATTTCCAGCCTTCGGATTCCCAAACCCCCTTTTTGACAAGGGCACACACCATCTCCCGAATTAACCAAGTGGTACTTAAACTTATCTCCCGCACCACCCCACAAAAACTTCCTCTGAATCTCGACAAGTCTTCGAAAAACTGTCAAAGGCATAGGAAAAAACGACATATAGAAGGTAGGAAGATTAGAAAGAGTTCTCTTCATAAGTATGACTCTCTCCCCTTTTGACAAATATTGCTTTCTCCAGCCTACAAGTCTCTTCTCAAATCACTCAACAATCGGATCCCAAACAAAAATTCTTCTTGAAAAGGTTCCCAATGGGAGTCCCAAGTAAGAAATCGGAAAGGCCCCAACCCCATAGCCCAGGATGTCTGCTAAGGCCTGGATATCCTCCACCACCCCAATCAAGACAATCTCTCTTTTTCCAATATAAATCCTCAACCCAGAAACAACTTGGAA